CCATGATGGGATCTATACTGGAGTCACGGAAGACATTTCTCTGATGGAGACTCTTCCCAGATGTGATAATGAAGAGTCTCCATATACTCTGTGCTGTATATTTCAGGGGGTCTGTGACGTGTCCCCCTCATTGTGAAGTCATGACACAGCCCGGGGACACAATGTGATAATAGAAGGGAGTTGGGAGGACTCCAGCAGTCCTGACACAGAGCCTCGGGGAGGACAGTCCTTGCTGAGGGGAGATCAGGGCGAGGGAGGGAGAGAACAGCTGCTGGGAATGAGACTCGCTGGCCGGCAATGGAAGGAGAGGGAGGTTGTGTGTACATGGGCGGCTGATAATGAGCTACAAGTGGCAGAGGAGAGTCCAATAAGCCTTCGCAGCACCTCCCAGACAAGAAAAAAAAGGTCGATTTGCACAGGACCGGGATGTATATAAAGCCCGACAAGAGCCGATGTTGCCTGTGTGCAGACAGGTAGTGGAGCCGGCTGAACATCTGGATTTGTGGATGCAGAAGAAGCTGTGATTGTTGGCTGCGGGGACGCCTGCCTGCCCGCCTGCGCTCCATTCTAATGGGCATCTTTGATTTCACTTCTTTTCCTTCAATATATTTCTAGAGCTTGTTACACGGTGGATACGTTTTAATTCCCCCCGCCCCTACCCACGAGTCTCCCTTTTGCCTTCTCATACATAAAGTATTTTATTTTCACTTTCTGGACGGCTTGTAGCTGAGTCACCACCATGCGCGCTCAGCTGGCTGTCACCTCTTTGCTCACCCTGGATCTGCTTTTTCTCTCCCCCTCTTTGTATGCCTGGTCAGATAAGGTTATGGTTACCCCCCAAAAACTGGATCCTGACATTAATGGAAGACAGTATTATAAGGAAGGCCGTGGACGGGCTAAGGACAGAGGAGTTATATTCCAGATATCAGCTTTTCAGGAGGATTTCTATTTGAACTTGAGTCCCGATTCTCAGTTTATTGCCCCAGCTTTTTCCATGCATTTCCCTGGCACTGCCCCCAAACCATCACCAAGCCTGAGGCACTGCTTCTACTCTGGAGACGTCAATTCACACCGGGATTCCTTTGCTGCTCTCAGCCTTTGTGGGGGACTTCGGGGGGCATTTGGCTATCGAGGGGTGGAATATTCCATCAGTCCATTAAAGAATGGCACATGGGATCAGTTACAAGTAGGTCACCAGGGGCTGCACCTCCTGCAGCGAAGCAGAGCATTGTTGCAGGCAGCAGACACTACATCTAGGTGTGGGGTCGGCTCGGGTTTGAACCATGGCATCATGGAAGCTCTTCAGAGATACAAAAGCTCCAAACATGGCAAACACCAAATCAATGGCACCAGGAGAGGAGGCCATAGGTCCCGACGCTTTGCCTCAATCACCAGGTATGTGGAGACACTGATTGTGGCAGATGAGACCATGCTCAAGTTCCATGGAGAGGACCTTCAACATTATCTGCTCACGTTAATGGCCACTGCTGCTCGCTTGTATCGCCACCCCGGCATCCAGAATCCCATCAATATAGTTGTGGTGAAGTTCATGGTCCTGACAGACGATGGGAAAGGACCTAAAGTTACCACCAATGCTGCCATGACCCTGAGGAGCTTCTGTGCTTGGCAGAAGAAATGGAACAAAGTGAGTGACAAGCACCCCGAATACTGGGACACCGCCATTCTCTTCACCAAAACGGTGAGTGTGCACAGACCATGTCTGATGGTGATATATAGATGTGTGCAGATGTCATGTCTCATTGTGGACAGATTACTTCTAGTATTATATACATAGCTGGTTACTTTGCTTTTGGGTAGAGTATTTGTTTTACTTCACTTCCTGTCCTGGGGGCACAAAACGACACGACAGAAAATCTCTCCAGAGGGAGGGAAATCAGTTGTCACCAGAACAAGTGTCCCCGTTAGAAGATTTTGCCTCTAGTCCTGATTTGGTGACAACTCAAACTTTTTACCTTTCCGTCACCTTTAGCCCTGGTGACAATGATGACCTGGACAATAGAGAGGGTGAGTCTCCCCAGGACATAGACAGCACAACAACATGACAGGGATGCTGAATTCTCACCACTCCATCCAAGGCAGGAAGACGATTCTCCTAACATACCGGGTTAGGTCTTCAAACTTCCTCCAAAAAATGATCAAATAGGTCCAGGGCAGCCATCAGTGGGGGTACTGCCGAAACTCATGTAAGGGGCCTGGGGGGCCCGCCTGGGTCCCTTACATGACTATCGGCCGACGGTGAAGGGCGAGGAGGCGGAGGCCTGGCCCTAGCAGCGCAGGGCCCCAGCATTGCCGCTGTAGCGGCTTTGAGACAAGCTGGGGCCCCATCAGCGACGCTGCTGGTCTGATGTCGGACTGGCCGGAGGTGACGTCACTTTTGGCCGGTCCGGCGGGCAGACGAGGCCATATGTGCAGGTAGGAGGAGCCAGCAAGGTAGGAGGGAGGTATGCAGCCCTGACCAGCCCACCTGAGACCCCTTCAGAGCCCACCATAGACAGTCTCAGATGGGCTGTGCAGCATCTATGGTGGGCTCTGCAGGGTCACTCTCAGGTGGGTCCTGTGTCCAGCGCGTCGCTAAGAACTGCGTCCAGTGCGTCACTAAGCCCTGCGTCCAGCGCGTCACTAAGCCCTGCGTCCAGCGCGTCACTAAGCCCTGCGTCCAGCGCGTCACTAAGCCCTGCGTCCAGCGCGTCACTAAGCCCTGCATCCAGCGCGTCACTAAGCCCGTGTCCAGCGCGTCACTAAGCCCTTTATCCGAGCCAATAGACGTGGAAGGGAGGTGGAACAGCATATGAATGGGATCGTCTGGTATGTCAACCGTTGTGATAAGTTTAATTTGTGTGCGAATATCTTGCCAGAATCCCCGTACTAGAGGGCATTCCCACCATATATGTAGGAAGCCCCCTGGCTGCCCACAGCCCCTCCAACAGTGTGAGGGTGTCCCCGGGTATATGGTGCTCAGGTAGAGCGGAGTGCGATACCACCGGGACAGCAGTTTATAATTGGTTTCGTGCATCGGTATATCAAGTGCCATTGATCATCTGAGAGATTCCGTCCCAGCTCCCTTTCCCAGTCCCCAATGAACCTCGGTCTATCACTTGTGAGTGTGGACAGAAGCAGGCCATAAAAGAATGATACCAGTCGATCCGGGGATGTAGATCCCGCACATAGGGACTCAAAGGGTGTGGCAGCGGAAGTCTCCTTGCAGGTCCCAGCAGCGGAAGAAAGAAATATCTTCCCCGGGAGGGAACCATGGATAGCCCCCCAGTGGAGATAGTGGGGACAGCAGGGGTGAGAGGAGACCTCCTGCATTCAGTTTGTCCCACAGCCGGAGGGTCTGATGAGTCAGGGGGGACGTGTGGTCAGAGAGACCACGACTAGCACTAGGCACCCAGGGGGAGCTAAATCACGACCTGCCATGCATTTTTCCATCTGTACCCAGAGCTTAGTGGAAACGTCAAATTGCCAGTTCACAATCCTCTGGAGAGAGATAGCCTTATAGTAGAGGTTAATGTCAGGTAGGCCTAATCCCCCGGGCCCTTTAGGCCTGCGCAGAATGGTATATGCTATGCCCCCCCAAACAAAGCGGATAAACAGACTACGAAGTTTTACAAAGTATGTATGAGGCAGGAAAATAGGTATCATCTGCAGAAAGAAGAGGACGCGAGGGAGCACCGTCATCTTCAGTATGTTAATGCGACCCAGCCACGTGAACGATGTGCGATCCCAATCCTGGAGATCTCTCTGGAGGTTGTGTAGTAAGGGTTCGAAGTTGTGTGCATAAAGGCGGGAGCAGTGGTTGGTCAGTTGAATACACAGATATCTTATGGCCGTCGTGGACCAGGAGAACGGGAAGCTGTGCCTCAACTGGTGGGCCATTGCCGACGGGACCATTAAGGGGAAGAATTTCAGACTTATGATAGTTAATTTTGAGGTTAGATAGCTGTCCAGAATGGGCAAATTCGGAGACCAAATTAGGGAGCTAGGTGACGGGGTCCGTAACAAACAAAAGGATGCCGTCTGCATAGGCAGATAGTTTATGTTCCTGGGAGCCAATTGTCAGGCCTTTAATATCAGGGTTACTGCAAACCTTATTTAGGAAGGGCTCCAGGGCTGGTGCGAACAGGAGCGGGGATAGGGGGCATCCCTGCCTGGTGCCATTTCCAATTCTAAAGGGGCTGGAAAGGGTACCATTCATCTTCACAAGGGCCTATGGGTCACTGTAGAGAGAGGCCACCCAGCTCATCATTTGGGGGCCAAGCCCCAGGGTCTCCAGCACTATCCTCAGAAACGTCCAATCCACCCTGTCGAACACTTTTTCGGCGTCAGTGGACAAGAGGAGGATGAGAGGCATGGTGGGTAGCCCAGTGAACCGCTTGGATCGCCCCAAGGGAGCTATCCCTAGTCTCTCTCCCCATTATGAAACTGGTCTGGTCTGGGCTGCAAGCACTCCCAGCACAAGCAGGCCCTCCTTGAAATCTGTCAGTTTAGACAGCATAGAGTCCAGAAACGTAAGCTGACGGGTGTTGGGAGCATATGCCGTGGCAAAGGTGAATATCTGGCCCTCAATGGATCCCTTTAAAAATAAGAACCGACCAACAGGGTCTGTCAGTTGGTCAAGGTATTGAACGGGGCACCGTTTATGGACAGCTATCGCAACCCTGCATGACTTGGGTATGGGGGAGTTGCTAAGATACCAACCAGAGTACATATGTCTAGGCAGCTTGGGTACAGCATTATCACGAAAATGAGTTTCCTGCAACATTACTACCTGTGCTCCCAGGTACCTCAGTTCCCTCCACAGTGTTCCGCTTGTTTGGAGAGCAGAGACCCCGTACATTATACGATAATATCTTCAATGCAGACATGGAATCATTAGAGCATCACAAGGAGAAGGTCGGGTGCCACTGAGCCAGGAACGTATTTCAAGCCTAGATAGGACATATACATACAAGGTGAGTACACATAATAATGGGAAAAGCAAATCAATACAAAACCAATACAAAAAATGATAATATTGCACAGTGAGACCAACTAGTAGTGCATACCCAGTCGGCAGCTTAGTGAATAGACCCCTAAGTATTCTGAGTAGATACTGTATTCTCCTCAGTGATACTTAGTATCACTTTTATAACACACTGTGAGCTGCAAATGGGCACAGTAGCTGTAACAGCACTGTGATGTAATACCCCTTAAGGTGGGAGATGGAACTCAGCTGCAGAAACACGTTCTGGGTCACGTGCTCTGAACAAGGAGTAAGAAGTGGCAATGGTCAACCTAAATGCATCATCGCACAATCTCCCAAGGACACGGAAAGTAGCCTAATTATCCCCTTTCAGCACATCAATGGTTAATTGACCGGAGTCTGCTCGTAGTACCTGATCAGGATTGAGAAGTTCTCTTTGCAATTAATATAAGGTAAGGTCTAGTGAACTCCGTAGCAACCACAGTAGGTTTGTATGTTATATTTACAGCACAAAATAGTGATTCAGGCTAGGTAAGTCAGTAGAAAGAGCAGCACCTCTGTATGTTCTCCCCACATTACAGTACAAGGTGCATAGGCTTAAATAATTCATAAGCAATAGCAGTAGTAAGTTGAAGTCTCCCCCACTCCACAGTAATAATTCAACCCTTGATAGTTACAGTCACTGATGGGGTTAATACTTGCGGTTGGCTGCTGCCTTTTAAATCCAATCCTGCAGTGGCAGTGATTATGGTTCCTGGTGCTTGTGGAAGCTTCCAGGGCCGCCATCAGGGGGATACGGCCGATACTCATGTAAGGGGCCCAGGCAGGGGCCCGTTCAGGACCCTTTCATGAGTATTGGCCGACGGTGACAGGTGAGGAGGGGGCCGGGCCCCATCAGACCCGCTGCTCTTCTGATATCGGACTGTCCGGAAGTGACATTGTGTCACTTCCAGCCAGTCTGGTGGCAGAGGAGGCCAGGTGTACAGGCACCAGGAGCAGCTAAGAGGAGCAGGGAGGGAGGGAGATGCATCCCTGACCAGGCCACCTGAGGCCCTGCAGAGCCCACCATAGAGAGTATCCAATGGGCTGTGCAGCATCTATGGTGGGCTCTGCAGGGTCACTCTCAGGTATGTGTGGGTTCTCAGGTGGGTCCTGCGTCCAGCGCGTCGGGGGGCCCGGCCTAGACCGTGTAAGGGGCCCCAAAATTTCTGATGGCTGCCCTGGAAAGGTCAGAGAAGATCTGCAGAACTGTCCCGGGATTCATCCTACAGCATCCCAAGGGATGAGGGACAGGAGATTCTGGCAGCCAATCAGAAATCATCTTGGCTTAATGTACCCAGGTGACCTCGTATAACATTAGGACAATGTTGTGTTTCTATCGGCCTCTCCGGATCACGTGCCGCATGAGGAAGGAAGACGGATCCAGATAGCAGTTTAGTGTAGTGAGAGGAGATGGGGTCCCGCTGGCAGCATCTGCCTAATGTCAGGAGATGGCGGCGGCGGCGGCGGCGGGTGGATGATGGATGCTGGCAGATCAGAGTACCATCATTCCTGACACTCACACTGGCTTTAGCAGGCTTACATCATGGAATCTGTTGGTGTGAAGGACATAGACCAGAGCGCTGGAAAACAACATCTCCAGCATGTAACGTGTAATGATAAATGTGTTCGATGCATCAAATCGGCTCCGCGTTACATCCCAATGTATGAATCGC